AATCAAACAATACAAAATAGGGATGTCCATTCATAAAACACATACCCACAATCAAAAAGTTATCACCCTTTTCCTTCCTTGTATCCAAGGTATAAACTCGGCTAATACTCTCCCCTTGTACTTGGTTCTTATTCCAGGGACAATCTCTTGAAATATGGCATATCCCTTAACATTGGTAACATCTCGGTCCTCCACTTCCTCCATTGACACACCTCCCAAAATGATTCTTACCACAAAACCGGCACGAGGGAGGAGTGTTAAGTCTAGCACCCTACACCTACTTCCTCTTGAAAGGTTGTTGTCTAGGCCTAAATGGTTGACTTGGTCTTCCTTGATCTCTCTGTCCAACTGTAGTCACATCTCTCTCTCTTCTTGGACTCTCTTCAGACTATGCTCAGCTGCATAATATTGTCTCAATAACTCAAGATAAGTAGTAAACTCTCTTTGAGATACACTATGAGATATTTCCACCCTTAGACCAAATAGAAACTGATTGATCTTCCATTTATCATCTGGAGTATATACGGTCTGCCTAGAGTAAATAGCCATATCCTCAAATTTCTCGGCATAAGCGGCTACGATCATATTACCTTGTCTCAACTGTTGGAATTCAAACTCCTTCTGAGTCCTCTAGGAGCTAGGGAAGTACTTATCCATAAAGGTAGTCTTGAATTGTTCCCACACCTTAGGCACACCATGGATAGTCATAAGGACTGAAGCACCTTCCCACCACCTCATAGCAGGATCCTTCAATGTGTGAGAAGCAAATACCATTTTTTTCTCTTCGATACGTGGTACAATAACAAAGATCCTCTCCACACCGACAACCATTTGCGAAAAAATTCTCGAAAGCTCCCCACCTGTAGCTTCTGTTGGAACCATTGCAGATTGAGGACCTCCATTCAACTGTTGCAACATCTGTTGCATGAACTGATTCTGCTTCTACTGCATTTGCTTTACAATCTGGGACATTGGAAATTCTCGCTACTACTCGGAGGATTTGAGTCGGATGTTGGAGTTGTGGGCCTACCACGTCTTCTGTGTCCATCAATCATCTCCCTAAACTTTATACAAACAGAATCAAGTTGGTCAGGCTCAATACTATAAATATAACATCCAGAATGATGATGTCTGCACACATATGAAGCAGAAAGGAACACTTATAATATTTCATGGCTAGGTTGAGTATACGACCTGCTCTGATACCAACTGTAATGCCCCCATATAATATAAGTATAGAATAATTCATATTATACATAATTGTAAATTTAGTACTGAAATAAACATAAGTTCCTAGTGACACATTATACATATTACATGCCTAACACACTAAAGTACTAAAAATGGCATAAACATATACAAGATGTCCAAAACAACTAAGAACTAGATCATAAAAATGATCTCAAACCAGAGTCTTCACAGCGGAAACAATGCTATCAAGAGACAAAACAAGTAAGGATATAAAACTGCCTTATCCTTACCCTTCACGGAACTTGATGCACCCGAAATATAATCAACAACAAGGGGTGAGATGATAATCCCAGTGGGTTCCCTATCTTATGGATTCTCTCGGCTTTACAAGGTTCTAATCAATCCTAACTCAAGCCTAAATGGAAAGGGATAGGGCTTTGAGCTCATAAACACACTATATGGGAACATGTTGCATGAGTCCAACAACTCAAACTATCACTGGTCGGAAACTATACCAAGGTATCCCCTTTTCCCATCCTCTCCTACGTCTAGGATTTTCGCCCGAGTCATGTATCCTTGTAATGTACTTTGACATACAAAATGGATTCGGATTCAAGGTGTTTTACACATGAATCGTTGATTCCCATGGGTTCACCCCTATCACAAGCTTTTACCCGTAGGTTCCATTCTTACTACACACAAGAATCAAACCTGTCAAAGTAATAGTGCGTACATTCCATAGGAGCGCTCTACATAAGCCTCAACTCTAGGAACCATACATTGTAAGAGATTGTTTATGACTACATGATCGCAACACTATATGATTATATTCGACAATCGCAAGGCGACACATTCACCTTAATCTCAAAGTAACACAAAACCAAAACATATTTCATATAATGTCTCACCTCTCCACTACACAACCACTTGTCAAGGATACGCACCTAGGCATCAACCGCACAAGCATCATCATCTAAAATTATCTATCAACTCCTAGTTACACCATTATGTCATTCTATTGAATTCTGACAAGGTTTTCCTCACTCTTTCTTAATTCTTTTTAATCACATATCATCATTTTATTCAATTCACCAACCCACAACTACACATGCATATCATTCATAATAATCAAGGTAAAGTAACAATAGTCATGTATGGAACACAACCAAGAAGCAAGCAAACAAAAGGGGAAAACACTGCTACATTCGCAGTGCGAAACCCAAGCGAGCTCCCTTGCTTTGAGTTTGCAATACGAACTATGGGCGAACCAGAAAATAAAATGGCAGTAGCGAAAGGTCCCCTTGATCGTAGTGTGAACGCGAGATGATCCTTCACCTTTAGCTTCGCTTACACTTGCAGTGTAAGCATGACATAACTGTCATGTTCGTTGGCCATTCGCCTTTGTTCGCAATGCGAACCATGTGTTCCAAAACTTCATACTAACGTGAAACATTCAGTTCAAAGGGGTTTCAAACCCCACTCTTACCTAACCTCAATACATCATTAATCCTGACATATTCACTCATGAAATAACATTTGAGCCATAAGCACACAACAATAACATGAATATAACATGAAATATGTATTTCTCATGGAAAGAAACAAAACCCCATAACCTAACTTTTCTCATTATATCCAAATACTCTAACCTTGAGTTTCTACCTAGAATCCACCTCTAAAATATGATGAAGAAGTTGTTGATGATGAAGATGAGATGATTTGGTGATGAGTGGTGATGATTCCTCTTTTACTAGAGTTTCTTCTTCGTTCTTTCTACTTTCTCTTCTTCCTCCGCTTCTTCTCTTTCTTTTCCTCTCTTATTTCCATTCTTTCCTTCTCTCTACTACTCATTCCACAAATTCAGAAAGGGTAATGGAAAATAAAGAAAAAAATGATATTTAGAAATATCTCATTAGAAGTTAGTAAGACCAACTTGGTTAAAAGCCCAAATAAATGAGTATCCAAAAAGTCTCTAATGCACCAATTAATAAAACGTCAGAGTCATATAATATTAATTAAGTCAACTCTGAGTTCATCAATTACTCCAATTATCCTAACAGATAACTCTCAGAGCACACTAGAACCCAGTTGATCTCAACTAATATTATTTAGAGCATTTTATTAAATACGGGGTATTACACTCCTAGTCTCAATTTTCCTAATTCAAAAGAAATATTATCGTGTTATCTTTCTAACGCAACTGACGCATGGAACAAGATGGTTAATTCATTTCTATGTATATCTGCGATTTTTCTGATTTTTCTCCCTATTGAACAGATCCAAAACTCGATTGATTGAGTCTCCACCGCCCCAGCCACACAGATAAACATAACTCTGAACAATATAACTCAAACATCATAGATTCAACATGTTAACGAAACAAACAATACAAATGCAGCATCTATATTATTGCCTTATCATATGCATCAACATGATTGATCAATCTAACATTTATACTCCTATCTTATCATAAGACATCAACATATTTTATTAATTCATAACTTTTATACTCTCGCCTTATCATAAGGCGTCAACATATTTTATCAATCAACTCTTGCTTTATCAAAAAGCATCAACATATATTATCAATTCAACTCTTGCCTCATCATAATGCATCAACATATATTATCAATTCAACTTTCGCCTTATCATAAGGCATTAACATATATTATTAATTCAAAATCAAAAATCAATATCATTTAAAATGAAACCATATTATATCAACCGTCTTAGAGAGGTTTTGCACAAACCTTCCTCATCCTCAAAACATCATAAAAGAGGAAAAGAAAAGGTAAAAGGAAGGAGGGTAAGGAACCCTCACGATTCATTTGCTTAAACACCCGTACATGAATAATTTCTACTCATACCTCGAATTCGAAAAAACTTGAAGTTTTGGCTATGGAATTCCTTTCTTCTACTCTTGCTCTCCTAAGGTTTGCTCTCTTCTCCTTTGCCTCTCACAATTTTCTCAGGTACTAATAAATTCTCCCTATTTTAGTATCTTAAATAAATAAAACCTAATTCTCCTTGATTTTAATTTAATTTCTAAAAACTCTCCTAAACTCTATAAATCCATCCATCTTCCTAATTTTTAAAAAATTTATTTTATTGCCTCAAAACTCATTTTCTCATATTTTCTCTATTATTTTAATTGAATAAATAAATAAAATCTAATTAAGTTTAGTTTACAACTAAATCACAAATTCTCACTCTCTACTAATTCTATTCAAAGTCCACCAACTTAAATAATTCAACTAAAAACACTCTAAAACTCAGTTGAAAATTAAATATTAAAAAATCGATGGCTTTCAGATAAGCCATCATTCACGATTTCAAATACACTTGAAATTTAAATATGACTTTTATCTACACATACCGTCTATCATAGTGTTCTTTTTTTTTAACACTGATATATTTGCAAGAAATTGATTCGAGATTGTGTTTTCATTTTCTACGATGGAAGTTTGGATCAACCGAGTACTCTAATACAAATTTATTGAGATAACTTGTCATATAAGGCAATGTGTATAGAAAATGAGATGAAATTAGAGATGGTTATAATAAAAGTAGAGTAAAGAGAGAGTTTAATCAATTGATCTAGATGTATTATAATGATTGGAGAGAGTATATACATCTAGAAAGTCAAATGACCAACTAACTTTTAAATTATCAAGTTGTGATAATTTACATGTGTTGCAAGTGTCTCACTTGCACCACAATCAAACTTCCAACATCCAGATAACATTTTTTCCTCTAAGTTTAGATTATGTAATTCATTCCTTCAATCCTAATAAAGCATCCTGAATAAATTAAAAAAAGTGTTTTGATGAAATACTATGTTGATTTGGTTGCGTTGTATGTTCTTCTTGAAGAGCAAATGCTGATAGAGGAAACGATCTAGCAATCCCAGAGGAATTGGCGAAGGAGATCTTATTAGAAGAAGGGTCATCAATGAAGATATTTGTCACGGGAAGCCATATAAACAGCTCTTTGGTCTTAACACCGGTGACCCTCCGCATCAGGCGTTCCTCCACAAAGGCGGTGACCTCCGTGTCGAACGAAACCGTGCGACCGATGTCGTTGTACCGGTGCACCTTCTTGCCTCTTTGCTTGAGCCACACGAAACCCGTGACACGGTTGTAACCCATTTCGACAACGTTGTCCAAAGGAAGCAAACCCCTTGGGAGGCAAATTTCATCGAGGAGAAGCTTTGTTTTTTGCATGCATATTGCTTCTCCTTTGTATATCTCTGCATCATCCCTTTGTCGTTCTATTATTTGATGTTGTTGGCAAGCCATGATTCTTCGTTCTTGCTAATTGAAATTTAGTTCTAGATTTAGGGATTGAGTCCTATCACATTATATTGATGAAAAAACCGTTCAAAATTTAGCATGATTCTTGTGACACTGCACAATCCTCATCAATTTTTTAGCCATTCATTCAGGTATATATTAGGGGTTGCAAATTAATCGGTTTATATTACTCCATCATCATTACAATACAAATTCCATATAAATCATCCATCATAACAATAAAATATTACTTTGGTCCATATTTTTATAATTAGTAATTCATCTATTTATTTTTCTAAGCTCATTTAGCCAATCATAAAATTTATCAAACATTAAATGATTTTAAAAAATATAATTAAATAATTATTTTAGTTCGGTAAAGTAAGAGACAATGCATATATTTTTAAATATATTTTAAATATTAAAGATTAAAGATTATCGAGATCGAAGAGGTATCCTTCATACCTCTTTTATTTTGTGTTGGTGAATGTGATAGAATTGAACTTTTTAAATATTTTTTTATTGTCTTTTCTAACTATGTGTTTGATGTGAAATTTTGGTGTGATTAGATACTTTTGTATTTCTTTTAAATTATTACTGTTCTTATTTTTAGTGGTGAAGATACACCCTGTGAAAATCTTAAAAATATTTCTCTTAATTTCAAAAGTATATTTCCTGACACATTTATTTCACACCAATATATGTTTTAAATGATACACACCTTTATTTTTCTAAAACCTGATTAAAAAGTGTACTTTGTACTCACCCCTAAAATGATTTTGTTAACTTTACAATTTAATGACAAATACGGAAGTGTAGTTCCGAATTTGTTAAACGAAAATTTGAAAAAAAAAACACCACCTTGCATGGATTTCACATTTCATTGAATATTTCAAAAGTGCATATATTCGGAATTTTCAAGCGGAAAATTTAATAAAACATCACCTTGCATGTATGCTTCAGTCATGATAATACCACCATTTCTTCTTCAAACCTTACTAAAATATTCTTCCACACTTAATCAACTGTTCTACTTCAAAACAATATTTCTCTGTTTTTTCACATCAAAATAATTAAAAGAAACAAAAACATAAGTTAATGTACATGTATTACTTTCCTCAGTACTTCCATTAATCTGGTTTTTTGTCTAAAAAAATGAACGTTGCATCTGAAAATACATTTCCATATTATTATTGAATGTCAGACGAAACTTTATTTTTCGAATTAGTTCAGAGTTGAATTTGGTCAGTTTTTGATTATTTTCTATTATGATTGACCTTAGATATGGTGAACTATGATGTTTTCCCCATAGTTATTTTGTCTATGGATGTCAAACTGGCATATGTCAAGGTAGATGTTGGTAAACAATTTACAAATGAACTTGAGTTTGTTGTTCGTGATCATATGCTCTAATGAATCCGCACAAAGACTTTCAAATTGGGGTTTGATATTGTAATTGAGAGGTCAGAAAATAGTCCTAATAGAAGACAAGCATTTGTGACACTAAGATGTGAAAGAAGTTGCAAAGTTTAAAAATTCATAGTGACACAATATTAGTGCAGTTCAATAGTATTATATGTGCTTATGTGTGTATATTACAACATTTGAAGTTGTTCTTTCAATAAGACTGAATATTTTGAATTGTTGTGTGTATCGTCCTTGCCAATCATTTAGTCGTTGGGAATGAAGTTGTTAGAGTTGTAATATTTGTATGGAATCCTTATCTATTAAATCCTTGCAGAGCCGTCTCAATTCTTAGTCAAGTAAAGCCCTCGCTTTAGCACCAAAATTTTAATTTTTTAAACTAGGTTTGAACAATTTAAATTCTATAATGATATTTTTGGATTTCTTTTTAGCTTTGAGAAAATAAGGTCATTAGATGATAAAAAGTTAAAAGATTATTGTCTTAGTCTTGAACGTTTATTAATATATAAAGAAAACTCAGATATTTATGAATTGAACTTATTTACATAACTTCATATCTTAAAAGAAATTATACATGTAGAAAATGATACATCAATTGATATACTTAATTATGTTAAAGAATTGATTCTTTCCCAAATGCATATCTTGTGAAACCTTGTTTTTCATGTCATTAAACATGCTTTTGATGATGGCAACCATTTAAGATAAACATGCATTGAAGCGGTAAAGCGGCAAGCAAAAATATTATTTTCAGAAGAATTTTCTCCAGGATTTATATCGTCTCCACAAGGATCGATGCGAGGAAAAGAATGTCATTCGACAATCTCTACATCTCTAAGCTTGTGTTTGATTGATTTTAAAGAGTAAGATGCAAAAGGAAAACATAAAACAAGAAAATAAATACATCCTTTAGATATGAGAAAACTCATTAGGCATTGCATTTCAATCTACCATCAAGCACTAAGAAATCTATGGATAAATTGCACTCAACCTAAATCACTCGTCAAAACCCATATGTATCGCAAACAACAAGAGGTTATGTCTAACGCAAAAGTCGAGAGATCAATTGCATTCTCTCTAGGTGAAGTCTTACGTAACTCAATAACACGTAGCATTAAGATCCGTCACACACACACACACACACACACACACACACACACACACACACACACACACACACACACACACACACACACACACACACACACACACACACACACACACACACACACACACACACATATATACGTGATTATTAGCCCACTTCCCATAGACAATTGACATTTATCTTAGGTCAAGTTTGAAAAGTATATGTCTATAGCGAATCAAACCCATTAAGATAGAGATTAAATCAAAGATGACATCGATTAAGAGTTATAAAATAGATTTTATACAAAGATCTATATATATACATACAATCAAGATAAACTTACATACAAAACCCCTACAAATAGAGGGTACAGAGAGAAGAGAGAAGATGAACAAGAATCTCTCGGCTTGTCAACGCCGATCGAAGCAAATCCACCTCTGGATCATCAAGATATATACTCTAATGATGTTTCTAAGCTACTCTACTCACATAATGTGTTTGATGAAGTTGGGGTTAAAAGTTTCCAACAACATAACCTATAAAATGAGTTTTTTCACCTTAAAAGTGTTAAATATGTAATTCATTATTTTAGAAAAATTAGATTTGATTTAGAAAGATCAGATTTGATTTAAAAAGATTAGATTGAATATTTTTGGACTTTTATAGTTTAGCCTTTGCCTTGGGGTGCAAGCTAACCTAAATCTATAAATAGGGAGAAACCCTTATTTTGTAAACATCTCATCTCATCTCATCTCATCATATTTTGTAATTCACAGTTTACAGTTGCAAGTGAAATAACAGAATTTCCACAGTTTGTGGGTAGAGATTTCTCTGCAGAAAATTGTTATTTTTCTTCTCCAACGTTTACTTACTTTATTTCTTTCTAAACTTTTCTTTCATTGTCATTATGTGAGTTGAAACAATCTTGAGATCAATATTGATTGAGTGAAATTCTCCATAGGTTGTGGTTGAATTTCCAACATCTGGTATCTAGAGCTCCGATTACGATTCAAGGAAGGAAAGTCGTGATGGCGATGAATCATCCAAACTATCACTTTCCGGAAAGCCTTCTAATTCTCAAGAAAGATAATTATGAGAATTGGTGCAAGCGGATTAACGTGGTTTTCTGTTATCAAGATCTTTGAGATCTTGTGAACATGAGGAGTAGCACCGCTTGTAGAAAATGCGACAGATCAAGAAAACATTGTATTGAAAGAATTGAAGAAGAAAGATTATAAAGCTCTCTTTATAATCCATCAATATGTAGATCCAAATAATTTTTAAAAGGTTAGTGATGTAGAATCCGCGAAGGAAGCATGAGAGATTCTTGAAAAGTCGTTTGGAGGCGCAGAAAAGGTGAAAGAGGTGAGGTTACAAACTCAAAAGAGAACATATGAATTGCTTCAGATGAAAGAAAGTGAAAGTATAACAGATTTCTTCACTATAGTTACAAAGCTGGTGAATCAAATCAAGGTATGTGGAGAAGTGTTGACATCAAGATCAGTTGTTGCGAAGATCTTAAGATTGTTGGCTCTAAAGTTTGACCACGTGGTAGTAGTCATAGAAGAGTCGAAAGACTTGTCAACATTGACAAAGGAAGAGCTTCAAGGGCCGCTTGAGTCTCATGAATAAAGGATAGCTGAGAGAGCTGCAGGAAAGTCGAAGAGTGATATGGCTTTGCAAGTGCATTTAGAAAAGGAAAGGAAAGGAAAAGGAAGCTAAAATAGCAACAAACGTAGAGGAGGCTACAATAATTCTACTGGTTGAAATCAGCAGGAAGGAAACTTGTCGAATCAAAGAAAACCCTAGAACCAAGGAAACCAAAGAGGTGGTGTCGCAGGTAGAGGAATAGGTGGTGGATGAAACCCTGACAAAATTCACATTCAGTGTTTCAATTTTCAGAAGTATGGTCACTATTTTAGTGAATGTCGAGAAAAGAAGAAACTGATGCAAAGATGGCGAAGCATGAAGAAGAAGAGATGATACTAATGGTCACAACAAGAGACGAAGAGATATTCTAGGACCAATGGTACTTGGAATCAGGATGCTCATCGCACATGACTGGAAGGAAAGATTGGTTTATCAACATGAAGCCCTCATCAAAGAACATGGTGAAATTTGAAAATGACAATACTCTACCAGCTGAAGGTATTGGCGATGTTTTGATTATGAGGAAAGATGGAAATAGGTCAAGAATTTCCAATGTGTTGTACATACCATGCATGAAGAGTAATTTCCTCAGTATAGGATAACTAGTCAAAAAGAACTACAAGGTGTTGATCAAAGGCAAAATGATGAGAGTTATCGATGCAGGTGGTACATTGATCTTGAAGGATCCAATGTATCATAATAAGACCTTCAAGATTGAACTCAATGTGATGGAGCACAAGTGCCTAACAACTACAGCCAGCATAGATGAATGGTTATGGCATTTTTGACTAGGCCATCTCAACTTCAATGACATCAGAGAGCTAAAGAAGAGATATATGGC